AAGACACTTATAAAATTAATATAAACAAACTATTGAATATATTGTGTATATTATAATATGTAAATCTTCTTTCTAAGACCGAAAGTTGCAAAAAAACCCAAAAAAAAGTAACACTTATTATAATAACAATATTATTTTAACAAAGATCATAATCGGTATGTTAGTATATCATAATTAAGTTAAGTCGTAAAAATAAAGATTATCATTATAAAATTAATATTACTTTACGCTGTTTTAATTCTTAATTATTTTAATTTGTTGGCTTAGGTACGTATCTTACTAATGAACACATTAAGAACCTCTTCTTTATCTTAACTTTGACGCTTTTAGAATATGATACCAGTATTCCAATTGAAATCAGTATTCAAATTATTGTATAAACACAATTTATGGGAATAGGCAAATGTAAAAAACAATCTATTAATTACCTATCTTATCTTGTGACATTAACAGGGAGCTATTATAATAATACCAAGTTTTATATTGGCAGTGTTAACAACTGATTAATATCAGCTTAATGAATTTCTTCACTATTAGTTCATTAGCGTTTTACAAAATACTTATTAATGCAATCAATTCCGTTGATCGGAGCCATAGTTAAAAACTATTTTATCTCTCATTTTCGATCCAGTGTTTCATGATAGATCACACATTATTTAATGGACTATACAGTGCGGTTTACCCTGCATATAAACGACGATGTAAAATGCTAACTAAGTAAGAATGACGTAAAAAATTGTAACGTTATGTTCTATTTAACGTACCAATGTAGTACTTAGAACTATTATATTCAAAACGAGTGAACCACATAGAAGAGCTGATAGCCAAACTGGAACTGATACAATAGTTGTGTGACTTGGAAATGTGTGCTTTTCAAAAGGACTCTTAATATTACTTTCATTTATATTCTGTGCTTGTGAACACTGATCCATAAAAACGGATCCATTCTTTTGATCAGAATGAGGTAGTAACAATTTTGGCTGAGTGTAAGTATTAAACGATGTGAACTTCGTTGTTTGATTATTAAATGAACCTTTTAAGTCTGAAAGTGGGAACTGTAAACTTGGATGATAGAAATTCCTAGGACTGATGTTAGTTTGCCTTGAAGTATAGCAGGATTGAGTAAAATCAGACACTGTAGAACATTGATCAAATTCATGTATGGATGGCTCCCTAGATGGAGCAAAGTTGGATCCAACTGAACCAAACCCAGAACTTGGACTGGACGATCTGGATAATGATGGTAGATCCATATTATTTTGCCAATATCCATCAGCTACCCAGGGTAGTTGCGTAACAGATTTTAATTTGGGTGGTGATATACTATTTTTTTTACTAAATGTGCCATTTAATCTTTTAAAAAGCTTGGAACTTCCTGGATTGTACACTTTTCTTTCAAAAATCTTCGGCGCTTTATTTTTGATTATATACTTTGGTTTATCTTCACTCAAAGATAATGTACTTAATGTACTCAAACTATCGTTCAATGCATAGTTTTCATTCATATTAGCTTTTTGTGTCAACAGAGATGAAGAATTAAATAACAGACAATTGTCATTGATAGGTGTTGATAATAATTGTGATTCTTGATTTATGCTGTAATATCAAAGAAAAAAATATCACTATTTGAAATACGTGATTGAAATAGACAGTGTATAGAAATTAATAACAAATAAAATTAAATTACTTACAATGGACTTTTTAATAATGTACGTTTATTGACTGATTGACCTATACTGAATGGTATAGACTCATTTGTTAAACTTGGTGAAAATTCATTACTAATTGTTTCACCTACATCACTTATGATTTTAGTATCAAAACTATACTTGTCACTTAAAGTTGATGTACACAAGTCGGGCAGTGATGTATTTTTTGAGGAGAATCCTATCTTTTTGAATGATAAATTTTTACTCATTGTACTCTTGTATGATTTAGGCTTAACATTAATAAAGGCTATAATTGAAGTAAAGAACATTATCTAGAAACAAAGGTTAAGTAAGTTCCTATGGAAACAAAATAGATAAAATTAATTTTATACAGTATATTATCTTACCATATGATACTGAGTTATATACTCAAGAGAAACCCATTTGTTATGAAAATCTATTTTCATTATCTTTGAGTCTTTAAAAGGTAAAAGAATAATAATGCATATCCACAAAAACATGAGCAATACATCTGAACTTTTCCTTCTGGTTGACGCTACACAGCAAGCACAGAATTGAAAAAGTAATCCTCCAATTGGCAAGAATAAGAGATCCATGTTGTATACTACCATAGAGTCAAAAATTGTTGAAAATATTCTGAATATTGGTTCAGAATATTTTTTGTTCTAGGAAAGATAAAAAAAAATCTTACAAAATAATTTTCAATAATTCTTATTACATATTATATTATATGTACTCACATTAGCAATCACTTGAAAGGGCTTTTGTTTAAATAACAACATTTTATATTCTGCAAGCCATAATGCTTGTTTATATAATACATTATGTACTGTGCTTTTACACTGTGTGCACAATGGATATTCCTGCTCCAAACTTTTTTTAAATTTCTTTACCTCTTGCTCATAATTTTTTTCATTCATAGGTACATAGTTAGATAACTTTGACAGTTTCAAAGTTTCAGTCTTTGTACATTGATTACAGAGTCTACTTGTCGAAATTTTATTGACTTTTGTATCCTGGGCAACTGAGCAATATCTTCTATTATTGTGTGAAGAAATTTTATATTGTTCTGGTATACTATATGCATAATCACCATTCTATAATTTAACATGAAAGAGAAATAGAAATTGTTTTACCTATATGTATGAAAACAAGTTAAAAATAAGTTAAGGAAAACAAAAATATTTATTTCAAAGGTTTGTACGAAAGCCATGATAATGAAAATTTAGAGATAATAATTTCACTGAATACGGTAATAAGAAAAATTGCTTGACTGCGTAAACGGAAGTATTATTTCCCGCGTGTAGAAAAAACCGCGTAAATGGAGACAGATGTACTTTGAAAAACATGCTTTGTTAAGTTTGATTCTATTTACCTTTGAAAAACCATTATACTGTTCACAACGTGGGCACAACCACCAGTTAGCCTGTTGCCGCCAAACTTTACTATTATTATTACAAAACCAGCAGTTTAATTTTACAGGCCATCTCAGTCTAACATGTAAATAGAATACATTATGTATGAATTATTGTATTTAAGAAAGAAAAATAATAGAATATAGTACCGTACTTACTTTAACTTTTGGAAGATCGTTATGATAGTAACAATTATAAACAAAATAATAGAAAATATTGGCATAAAATTGACTAACAGGTTGAATTCCATATTAAGGCTAGAGTCTTTTTACCTTAACCTATACGACCGTATGTCACAGACGAGAAATGCTTGTAGATCGCACATCCGCTCTCATCTTGTAGAATTTAATGTCGCATTGACATAAGTGAAATTTTGGTCTCTTTTCAAAACCAATTTTTAGTCCGCATGCATTTTTAAATAATGCATATAAGCGAACCATTTGTTATAACTAATTCGTTTATAATCATTTTTAATATTTAAGATTATACGTTGTACATATTACATATGTACATACCCGCATAAAGGATAATTTACAATAAACAATTTGGTTTTAAACATATGTCGATACAAACTGATAATTCTTCTTATTTAATTATTCTAAATTCGATTATTTTTGTTGGATTTAATTATCTAATTATGTACTATTATTAAGTTTATTTTTATTGTAATAATAATTTTTAATTATTTTCTGAAATATCTGATAATCGATTAACACAAACTACATTAATCGATATAATACATATATCGATATATTAAGGCCATAAAAAGTCGATACTACAATTATCGAGTTTCTAGTCGAAATCGAGACATATAGAAGATTCAGTGACAAGCAATTCTTATGGTAGCAGCGAATATAACAATTTAGTTTTGAATTTTGTGTTGTGTTCCTTTTTATAAGTGGATGGACTTATAAAAAGAATTAATTAGTATCTATAGTTGGTTATAAATAGTGAGTGCACAAAATGACGCTCACAAATAAGGTAAGTATGTAACTTTTAATTCAGTGTAGTTGAAAATTTTGTAATTTTTAATTTTGTACGTGCTTTAGATGGAATTGGACGAAAAAACCGCGAAGGGAGAGGGTTTTAAACCTTATTATATTACCAAAATTGAAGAGCTGCAATTAATTGTAGCTGAGAAGAGCCAAAATTTAAGGAGGTTACAAGCACAACGTAATGAGCTTAATGCGAAAGGTATGTTTTCCTTAATCTATTTTATTTACTCCACATCTTTCAAATTAATTCCATATATTAAATTAATTATATCTTCTGTAATAAATTTTATATTCATTACCTTAGTACGTATGTTACGAGAGGAATTACAACTTCTTCAAGAACAAGGTTCATATGTTGGAGAAGTTGTTAAACCAATGGATAAGAAGAAAGTCTTAGTTAAAGTGCATCCAGAGGGCAAGTTTGTAGTGGATATAGATAAAAACATTGACATCAACGATGTAAAACCAAACTCAAGAGTTGCATTGCGCAATGAAAGTTATACTCTTCATAAAATTTTACCAAATAAAGTAGATCCACTAGTGTCTCTTATGATGGTGGAGAAGGTACCAGATTCTACCTATGAAATGGTTGGTGGTTTAGACAAACAAATCAAGGAAATTAAAGAAGTTATAGAACTACCTGTTAAACATCCTGAATTGTTCGATGCTCTTGGAATAGCACAACCTAAAGGAGTTCTTTTGTATGGACCACCAGGTAAGAAAAAATAGCTGCAGAAAATATTGTTTTATCTCTGCAACAAAGGATATTATTAAATCACATTGTATAATTTATTCTTAGGTACAGGAAAAACTTTATTGGCAAGAGCAGTGGCTCATCACACTGAGTGTACATTTATTCGTGTGTCTGGTTCTGAATTGGTACAGAAATTCATTGGTGAAGGCTCAAGAATGGTTCGTGAACTATTCGTAATGGCTAGAGAACATGCACCGTCTATTATATTTATGGATGAAATAGATTCAATTGGAAGTGCTCGTATTGAGTCTGGATCTGGTGGTGATAGTGAAGTAGGTATTATATTTCTGATTTTTAAATTTTATTATCTATACTTATGCCTAATAAATATAATGCTAGGTCCAAAGAACTATGCTCGAATTACTGAATCAGTTGGATGGATTTGAAGCAACAAAAAATATTAAAGTTATTATGGCAACAAACAGAATTGATATATTGGACCCTGCTTTACTTAGACCTGGACGTATCGATCGTAAAATTGAATTTCCACCTCCAAATGAGGAAGCGCGTCTTGATATCTTGAAAATTCATTCAAGAAAAATGAACTTAACTCGTGGCATTAATTTAAGAAAAATCGCAGAACTTATGCCTGGCGCATCTGGTGCAGAAGTTAAGGTACTAGATATAAAATTCGTAAAAATAATGATATATTTTCAATTTGTATATTAATTTTGTTTCGTTTTTAGGGAGTTTGTACAGAAGCCGGTATGTATGCCCTTAGGGAACGCCGCGTTCATGTTACCCAAGAAGATTTCGAAATGGCTGTTGCTAAAGTTATGCAGAAAGATTCTGAAAAGAATATGTCCATTAAGAAGTTATGGAAGTAAATAGTTAGGCTTATTGTTTCAATATTATTTACATTTTTTGTAAAATCATTTGTGAAATCCATATAACTTCATATAAAATAAAATTTATAATTGTAAAAAAAATTTATTTCAAATCATACTATTACTACTACTACTACTACTACTACTACTATTGCTACTACTACTACTACTATTACTACTACTACTACTACTACTTCTACTACTACTATTACTACTACTACAACAAAGATTTAGTGTTAATCAAGTATTTTATAACTGTCGAACTTTCTTAATGTCATGAAATACACATACTAATGCATATTTATTGTATGAATGTCTTTATTATTCATAAGATGTTTTCTGTTTTATGTAATAGATACTTCAGTGTTCTCATTCGAGAGGATTAAAATGTTCTAATAAAGATTATTTTAATACTTTCAAAACAAATACAAAATTTTGTTCCATGCGATAAAATTTCCCAGATAAATCATGGCATGTCATGGCTCCATTTTATTCACCATATCCCCTCCACTACACCAATAGCCGCATGTGGCTAGTTACGGTGGACACCTCACGGTGGATCAATTTTCAATTTTAATATATTTTCGATTCAAAGTAGAATTTTTTATAATTCACAATGGGTAAAAAGGCAAAAATTGGAAAACAAAGGAAGGATAAATTCTATCAGTTGGCTAAAGAAACTGGTGAGTGTTTGCATGCGGTTAATATTTTTCTCTGTTCATATAAAATTACTGTTAAAATATCATGTCAAAAAGTTTCAGTACTATTACTCGAATGAAGATTGTTTAATAAACTGTTCACTAAAAAAATCTTGCTTTTCTATTGTCGCTAGGTATAACATATAAACAAAATTTCTTATAGGTTATGTTTTATAGGTTATAGGTCACGTGCTGCTTTCAAATTGATCCAGTTGAACCGAAAGTTTGAATTTCTACAAAAGTCACGAGTATGCGTAGACTTATGTGCAGCTCCAGGAGGATGGATGCAAGTTGCCCGGCAGAATATGCCGGTGTCTTCCATAGTTATAGGCGTAGATTTGTTTCCCATAAAACAGATTCCAGGATGCATTGGTTTAGTGGAAGATATCACGACAGACAAATGTCGGGTTTCAATATCCCGTGAATTAAAGACATGGAAAGCTGATGTCGTATTGCATGATGGAGCACCAAATGTTGGTAAAAACTGGCTCCACGATGCATACCAACAAATAGTTTTAACTTTGTCAGCCTTAAAACTAGCGACACATTTTCTAAGAGCCGGAGGATGGTTCGTTACAAAAGTTTTCAGATCAAAAGATTATCATGCATTAATTTGGGTCTTGAAGCAACTGTTTAAAAAGGTACTTTTTTTATAATTGATGCAATATTATGTATGTCATAATGGAATTTAATTGTTATAATTTATGTCAGGTACACGCAACTAAACCTCAAGCTTCACGTAGCGAATCCGCTGAAATATTTGTGGTTTGCCAGTATTATATTGCGCCTGACAAACTGGACCCTAAATTTTTAGATCCCAAATATGTGTTTTCCGAATTAGACATAGAACCAGCAAATAAATTGAACATTTATAATCCAGAAAAAACCAAACGGAAAGTTGAGGGATACCCAGAAAATGATTATACTTTGTACCATAGATTATCTGTTAAAGATTTTATAGCTCACGAAAACGCGATAGAAGCATTACAAGATGCTTCTGAAATTGTTTTTGATGACGAAATAATTGCGAATCATGAGGCAACGACTAATGAAATTAAAGAATGTTGTAAAGACATTAAAGTGTTAGGGAAAAAAGATTTGAGACGCTTGTTGAATTGGTGGAAGACACTGAAAGAAGCTTTAAAAGAAAAAGAACCAATAGTAGAAGATGTAGCCAATGAACCTGTAGAAGTGCAACCTTTGACCCAAGAAGAACTGGAGGACTTAGAAGATGCAGAAATTACGAAAAGGATTGAAGAGCTCAGAGCAGAAGAAGCTAGAGAGATGAAACGAAAGAAGAAAAAAGTTAATAAGGAAAGACAGAAGTTAAATGAACGCCTAAATTTAAAAATGGTTCATAAAGGAGACGAAGGTCCTGTACTGGAAGGAGATGATATGTTTAGTTTGAAAGAAATTAAGACATACCAGCAGTTACAGGAGATTACGAATCAACAACCAGATTTGGTAGCTGAGAGTGATGTAGAATCAGATGATGGAAAAAGGAAACCGAAAACAGTTAGGTACAACAAAGATGAAGGGCATTTGGATAGTAAGGGGTTGTATTATAAAACAGGAGATAGCGAGTCGGAAAATTCGAGTGACGCATCCGACGACGACTCGGAAAGTGAGAAATCGGGTTTAGGTATGTAATTCTTGAATATATATGTTACGCATATACACTCAAATATCTTCATACCTTTATATTATTGACTTTTCTTTTATTAGGTTTGGATGACTCAGATGATGAAGGTAGAAAAGAAGTTCGAAGTAGAAAGAAGAAAAATGAAGATGATTCAGAAAATCCACTGTTAACTGATTTAGATAACAGAGATAAAAAGACTAAAAGAATTCACAAAACTGAACTGTGGTTTGAGAAAGATATTTTTAAAAATCTAGACGACGAAAAAGATGAAGATTTTGAATTAGATAAAATGGTCGAAGAGTATAAAAGGAAAGGTGGTCGCATAATAGGGGAGGCTTCAACAGATAGTGGAAAAGAAAAGAAAAGAAATAAGGGGGATGCGAAGATGAATGAAGCTGAGAACGATGATGATGTTCATAGTTCTGAAGACACTGGCTCTGGTTCCGACTACGACATAGATGAAATGATGGTTTCAAATAAAAAAGATAAGAAAAATAGAGTAGGTGGCAAAAATGGTTTTGAAATAGTTTCAAAAACAAACGGTAAGTACATTATCGCCTTAAATTAAGCAGTTATTTATTTATTAATTAATTGTTGGTCTATGAATATCGCCTTAAAATGTACAGATATAAAACCGAAAAAGAGAAAACGTTTGTCAGAAGAGGATCTGGCATTAGGGTCGTTATTAATCCAGAGTAAGAAAACTCGAAGAGATTTGATAGATTCAGCGTGGAACAGGTATGCGTTTAACGATGAAAATTTGCCCGACTGGTTTGTAAAGGATGAAAATGAGCACATGAAGAAAGAAGCACCTGTACCTAAAGAGTTGGTTGACGAATACAAGAAGCGGGTGGAAGATGTGAACGTTAGACCAATTAAGAAAGTACTAGAAGCAAAGGCAAGGAAGAAACGTCGTGCAATACGTAAATTGGAGAAGGCGAAGAAAAAGGTGGAAGCAATTATGGACAACGAAGATATGAACGACAGAGAGAAATCGAAACAAGTGCAAGCGTAAGGATTACTATTCTTTGGGTTATTGTTTGTTATAATAGACTGATCTCGTATATACAACTTATTTACATTTCCATTTCAGATTGTACAAGAAAGCTCAGAAACAACCTAAGAAAGAAGTCACTTACGTAGTTGCGAAGAAACATATGGCACAGAAGAAAGCAGCAAGGCCCGCGAGTGTGAAAGGACGTTACAAGATGGTCGATCCCAGAATGAAAAAAGATTTACGCGCAGCGAAAGCAAAAGAGAAAACGAAAGGACGAGGAAAGAAAAGCCATGGCGGCAAACCGCCTCGAGGGAAGAAAAACCATGGCGGCAAACCGCCTCGAGGAAACCCTAAAGCTCACAAGGGAAAGAAATTAAAGAAGTAATTTCTTTCAAATAGGAGAATTATGAAATCATTTTATAATTTTTATCATCTTGTGCTATTTTAAAATCTGCTAAAAAGCAGCGAGACAACAGAGTACAACACAGTGCGCGTTGCTTTTCGACGCACTGAGATTCTGTACATATAGTATCATTTTGTACATAGAGATTTATGTACTAGTATACAATGTCCGTAATTAAAGTATTTTGTACATATATGTTTGTGTACTGAGATTCATATATTGTTGATCCTTTATCGTACCTACATCTATTATAATTTATTAATTTAGTAATTTGTAACATGTACAGCATGGCATACGACAAATTTATAATTCTTTTGTGACAACATTTTATACAAAACGATAGAACTAAAAACAAAAAAAGAACATTTTTCGCGGAGCGCTTTATAATAGATAAATTTCCCTGAAACATGGCAACCCTATTTGCTCGCATGAGTGAATGCTGCCAACTGTGATCCGTTTGAACGTTGCAATGTCGCAAATGTTACAATTTATAATCATCGTTTAAACGAGTATAGATAAGTGGACTTAACCAATCTCGTGGCACGAAATCTGCCATGATTGACTTCGGTACACGCTGTATATCTACACGGTATACGCAGCTTCTTCTCCCCACTCCTCGTAGGTGTCACTGCTAAGCTAACGGCATCTCTGCCGTGCCGGGTGTATTCCGTGCATCGAACATTCTGATGCAACTGTGGACTGCGTAGCGTCGGGACGCTGCGGTCGATGTCAAGGACAAGGCCGATAGCATTTAGAAAGAGCGTTCCACGTCGACATTGTTGCAATCAAAGCGGTGTCGGCGAAACTTTTTTTTTCCTGGCGCGTCGCCAAAAATCGCATCATCGGCTTCCGACTTCGTAATCGAGCCGCGAGATTTCGCGAAACGCCAGGTACACATCGGGATCGTGTCGTCCCGAACGATCTCCCGTATTTTTTTTTCTCTATCCGTTTCCGTTTTCATCGCTTTTTTACTTTCTTTTTTTCATTCACTTGCCCGCCATTCACAAGGTCTTCTCGCTGTTCAAACGTTCTCATGTGATACGAAGTACCGGTGCTGACGTAACCTTGCGGGGCGACCCACTGTGGCAGAGTCAATGTCAAGGCCAAGCCTAGCGACACGTATAGGTTTCGTAACACAACGAAATCAGTCTCGTCTCTACGGAAAACTTAATCGAATAGGTAAATCGCCGTACTTTTCGGTTTCAGATTATTGTTCTTCTCATTTTGTTTGCAAATTGACAATTGAACGTGTTTTAACAGCAGGACTGGTTTTTACACATTTTATGTATGTTATATCACTAAAACAAGTCTGAAATTTTAATTTTGAACAACAATTGTGGTTTTGCAACAGACGGCATTGTACGAAGCATAAAAAAAGTCGAATTATTTTTAAATGATTGTTTTCTTTCACAGGTTATGTGAACAATCGAATGTATATTCGTCTTTGTACCATCAGTGCCTAAGTTACTGGGCAAGTGCCGGTGTCACCACGTTGGCGTCGCGTTTGCGGCTAAAAGAGACAAATGCCGGGGACAGATGAAAATATCCGTGCGACTCTCTCGCAACGAATACTCTTTTACCAATTTTGTTTAAAACCGGTGCATCCGGTTTGATCATCGTTCCGCCTTTAGCCGCATTCGGCCATTAGGAACGTAATTCGGATGGTAAGAAGTGGCAGATAAAACAGCAGTAGCCCGATGGCCTATAAATACACAGCTCTGAATATCGATCCCCGATATTACAATGAATCTGCATTTCATATGAATTTCAAATCCGATGCGTTCCTTTCACGCGTGCCTGACTATTGTCGCGCCGGGACCGACTTTAAGGAATCGTAACTGGTTGAATTTTAAAGGACACCGACAGATCTCGGAAGCGGTAATACCCACTTGTTCCAATTTGCACGGCGCGCGCCAAGTTTGCATTCGGCGCCAAACACTTGTAGGTGCTGCAACCGATCCTCGTAAATCTTGGTGCATTAGCGCCGGCACCGGTGAACTTGTGGACAAACAGAGCTGAACTTTCGGTTTCCGCGTTATGTAATTTTATTTTATGCTTTTTTCCCTCGTATATATAAAATTCTACGGTGGTCGCATTGTCAATAATTCGAAAATAGTATCCGACCACTATTATTATTAGACCTTTATGGAAGCTAAACGGTTTCTTCCTCAAAGAAAATTTATTTTCTCCTTTACAATTTTAATTATCAATGCTCCTACCTGTTCGCGCTTTATCCGCTCGCTTTTCTATAAATACATTGTAAATGCAGTTTCTGTAACGCCACCTTCCGGTTGCCGCGAGTCGCGCGATTAGCTTCGCGACGGCTTCCGGCGGTCGTAACAAGTTCGACCGAATTTTTCGTGTTCCGTCACGTCTACGAAATTGTATCGGGCTTTAGAGGTGAACTCGGCGAAACGGCGAGCCTTGAACCGATCAGGCAGCGCTTATGTGGCGAGTTAAAATTATGATGAGAAATTGCGCCAGGAATATCCGCAATTGAGAAACAAGCGGTATCGCGACCGAACAACACAGTTATCGAACAGTTTTTCTGGCAACGTCCGCGCGAATTCTTATTATATTTTATCAACGGACGAGAAGTATGACGCCGCAGAAATACGAACCGCGTGCTCCCCCCGAGCTGCAAGCCACGGGCGGCACCAATTTTAAACCATCGCGGCACAAAAGCGTCTCATTTTCTAAATATATACACCGGAACGTATCTATTCGAGCAACGGTTGCTTCAATATTAGCAATCGCCCGGCTAAATCGGACGCTCTCGGCCGACTTACGTGCGATCTTGAAATACGCGGGTCGTGACAGACCCGGGGATCGCGCGCCGGGGACCGACACGCGACAAAACGTCCTCACCTTTGTTTACGGAAATCTTTTCTCGTTCCGCAAACACGGATCGAGGCGAGGCGCGCTGCTTGGCCGTGTTTCCCGGCTTAGGCGTCTTTTATGAAAGCCTGTCGGTGTGTCTGGGTATCTTTACGCGGTTGGCGCTTACGTCAAGGGCGACCTCGACTTTCCACCGTTTCTAATCTGTACGACAATCGGCCGAGACAAGCATTTCGTTTCAGCTGTGTGCGACGCTCGACGTTGTCCGAGATTTTTATTGTTCGTATATATGGTCACTAAATCGGGAACGTATGCGTTATATACGCGTGCCTGGAACAGTTTATAACAGTCGGAGAAAATAACAATTTCCTCCTTAAATCGAAGAATTTCTATATAACTGAATCAACGACTATGTTGGATTTAAGTATTAGAGCCGGGGATAAATTGTATTTAGCGATACCATAGCTAAATATTGATTGGCAGCTAAATCGTTCTCAATCACGTGTACACGTCCTTAATTTCGGCCGAGTAAATATTTGCCAGATGAGCGGTTCCTTGTTTGCTAAAAACGAGAGAGAGAGAGAGAGAAAGAGAGAAAGAGAGTGTGAGAGAGAGAGAGAGATGCCTGATTGATTTTGCTTATGTTAAAGCCGATCAACTGCTATTACCGCAGCGACCCTGACTTTTTAAAGGAAGAAATAGCTTTCTCGACGTAACATTATGAAACGAAAGCATGAACAACAACTAATCCGTCGCGAGCGGAACAGGATCACCTGTTTACTCTATGCAAATTCATTTATGCAACCTATAACTTCGGCGTGTGTATTTGTTTACCGGTATCGGTACTGCACCGGCGCCGGACATCAATTTTGTTTACGCGAGACAAACATTACGCGCGCGTTCCATAAAAATATCAGCAAAGCGTAGGCCGGGATCCCGGCGTTGCTTTTATTATCGTTATTCCCGCGGGACCTTGAACCACGACAGCCAAAAGCAATTAATTAGGGGACCAATAAAAGGCGGCACAGTCAATATAGCACGGAGCTCGTGTGTTTAACGTTCCACTGAATTCGTCGCGGCCAGAAGCGGGTTGACAAATATTTATACAAATAATTCGCCGTAAACGATGTTCGTAGAACGCGCGAGACAAATAAATCGTCGCGGTCTAGATGAAATTTCTAGTTCAAGTTTACGCAATCCAATGTACCGGGAGGTACGGTTCTGGTTAATTCGTTTAATTCGATTCGATTCCGTTCTGTTCGTACCCTTGAAAAATTTCCATCCGTTCGAGATCGTTCCCCTTTAAAACAATTTCCAATCAATAAACAAAATCGTTTACGTTTTTTCAGGGCAAGACCGTGGATCTCTGTACAAAATCGAGTCTGCAGCTACAAGAACCAACTAAGCTAAATAGGAAGCTCTTCTTTCAACAACGTCGACGGACTGAAGAAACAATACTCCAATCTTCGCAGTATTCGAACAACGTCGCAAGTGTCTAAAGACCATAAATGGCTAATGGCGTAGCGAATGGTTAATTAATCGAGCAACGTCGTCGCAAACGCCGAAACGGAATCAGCCGATGAAGAAGCACACGGTGAAGCAACTGGCGCGCAACGTGACACGGGTTTCGGTGTCCTGCATTGCCCGAAACACCGTGGGAACGGGCGGAGGAAAAGGGAGAAAAATCGGCGAACGGTGGACAGATATAACGAGACAAAGGCTGACGTGCGGTAATTGAGAATCGTTAACACGTCCTCGAGAGAGAGAGAGAGATCGAGCGGCTGGATTTCGCTTGGTCCTCTCTCGCGCGCGCACACACCGCCGGGTGCTACCATCAGCTCGGCTCCCTCCACTCGTCCCGGCTTCCTGGCCACGGTACCGGTGACCTTCAACCGTTCAGGAGTGGATGGACCTTGTTGGCCAGCGGGCCGAGGTATAAGGTCAAGGTTACCGTTGACGGTGTGCACGGGATATGCGACCTCCGGATGCATCGAGCGAGATGCGCGCGCACCAGGCGCATGTGCACCAACCGACCGGCTTCACGGTACGTCGCAGCACGTCGCGCGAGCCATTGCCAAGGTCTTCGCTGGTCACGGGCAAACCGTTATAAGTAGCGATGGGCTCGATCCAAAAGGCGCAATGATTAATGCTCTAGGTGCAATGGGTCATCAAACGAGCTGGATCTTGGCGGGCAACCGCGGGAAACGAGCGCGCGTTCTGCGCCGTTCGAATAATGCGGATTTTCTTGCGTTTCCGGCGCGGATCGCTTAGCTATCCGGCCGAGACGAAGTCGAGATCGAGCAGCGTGTTTTACTTTAGTCGTCTGGCGCTTTGGTTCGTTAGCTAGCAGTCTATGGATGTAGTCGGTTTTAAACGTTGCTATGCGTATTTTGTAAATTAATTTACGTTATTCGGTGTATGCGCCGTTAATTTCGAGCGGACGAAAGTGGGTGACAGATGCTCTCAAGTTTTCATAGAGGTTTTTTATTCTTTTCAAAAAATCATTTCGATCAATTATTTTGTTGTCTATCTTTATTGCAATGGCTTAAATGACAGAAGCATAATGCAAGAATAATATTAGAAATATGGTGTTATATTCTTGTTAAATTTGTATTCGTGTACAGGGTATCTTAGAACAGGTGGTACGAGTAAACAGAAACGAATAATCAAATAATTATTTAATTTGTATTAGATGAGGCGTCTGATCATGACCCACTGAATCTACTTCTTTTTATATAGATACAGGACTGCGAGCTTGACGAATTAATTAGTACCGAGAATCATTACTACTTGGAATTGATTCACTTTTATACTAACTTTGAGATCCTGTATTTGTTCAATGAAGTGGGATATACAAGAATTTGTTTAACGACACAGAGAATATACAAGAATTTGTTTAACAATACAAGATCTGTTGTCCTTTGGGATACTTCTCACTTCATGACCAGCTTTACTAGGATTAATTTCGTCAGCAAAAAAATTCATTCGATTCGGTTGAAATAGATCATCGACGGCAAAAGTGAGAAATAAAATATTCTGTTTCGTCCAGTCAAAATTATAAATTCGTAATACCGAATACCGCGAGTTCAGCACTTCGTAGTTTGTTAACAAGCGTTTACCTGTCTATTAATTATTGGTCACCGTACGATAATGTTTTCATCGATACGACACAGGTCTTCTCGTAAAAGGAACAAGCAACGAAAAGTGCACACAGATATCCGAGTTTCGTGGTTTGCGCTGCGAATGCAATCTCGTATCAGCGGAGCGTCTGTTTTTTACGAGTTTCCCCGTGAACCGGGATCTACCCCGGCACGTGGATCGTATTAGCGTCGAGAATACTGCGATTTTTTTTTCTGATGTAACCCAGTTTCATCCTAGCTGCAGGACGCATTTTCCAATGTAGTCGCAACTCGGGACCCGAGACCGAGGAACTTGCGCAAATCTGCCGCTAGTAGGATACAGCATGCATGCTCCGCGTTCTTCCGTTTCGCGAGATATGCATTGGAAGCGAGGAGACTTTAGACTCGAGGATGCAAATATTCCTTTATCGTTGGCCAAGCAACGTCAAATTACTTGCGAAGTTCCTTCCGTCTACACCGAAACAATTTTCTCAAACGGAGACGTTGCGTTCGAACATGATTCGAAGAGAAATTACTTAGCTTCTAATCAGGATAAAATCAACTAGATAATTTCTTCCATTTTTCTAATGTCTTCGCGCAGTTTCGATCTAAGTCAAATTTGATGTTATTTTGTATGCGAAATATGTCTATTTTTATGGAATATTGTTCTATCTACGATTCGAAGAGCGTCCCGAATACGGCAGAAACGAGACAACGAACTTGTTTTGTTGCACAGTTGTTACATAACGATCAGTAATATGTTGCAAATGAGAAAATGAATGACCATTTATGTTAAAACTATTCACGGAGCAATGTTTACGCGTCGACTTAGACACACGTTCGACGACATCATCGCTGAAAACATCGCGATCCTTCCGAAATAAATTCTTACTAAATTCGATTAACATTGGCACATAAAAAAAGTACTAAACAAAAACAACACACAATATATACAACATTATAAAAATACGTACAAAGTACAAAATCAATTTCACTTCTTCGTCGGTCCACATCGGACACGATAAATTAAATAACATAACATTCACGCATACAAAATAACAAATACAAATGTGCACGAAATAGACGTACAAAAGCAGTTTTAAATTTTGTCAGGCTGGCCACGCCTGGTATCGATCACCGAAGCGGGAAGATCGCTGAATAAATTCGAGATCGAAAAATCAGGGGTTCCAGCGGAAGGCGAACGTTGCCGTTAAATGATGCTCGTTTGTTTCCGTTCCTTTTTTAAATTACGGCCGCGGAATAGGTAGATAAAAGGAGGAAAAGGCCGGCGTCGCGGCGCCTGCGTCACGACACCCGGCGTACATCCATGGCCAAGGTCCTCCCCGGTCACGGGCAACCCGTTATACGTAGCCGGGAGCCGACACACGCTCGAGGTCGTCCACGATTGTCTTGTTCGCCCCGAAGGCTCGAGAAAGCTTGATCTCTCCCGTGGCAGGACCACGCGGTTGCATTATGGAGAGATATTGCCTCCGCGTAGGCAAGCGTCGCTCTCCCCGGCTCCGGCGAGAAACGGCTTTAAAGAGGCTCGTTCGTTCCGCGAACAAAACCTGGAATCCGACCAGCGTTTCAGCCGCTCGTCAACGTGATCGAGTAATCCGTGTCCGGGGGACACGTCGGGTTTAGGTCGGCCCGTCGTTTAACCCTTTTAGTGGCATGCGAAAAAGCGGCGCCTAATAACCGGCCGAATTTCACGGTTTTACTAGGGTTTGGGAAAATGCTCAGAAAAACCAAACAAGAAACAATATTTACATGATTCGAAAAGCAGTAAATTTACCCCTTAATGCACGGTTTTTTTGAAAAAGGCCGGCCAGAAAAAAATCAATTTTTTTTAATGTAAAAAAACAATTTAGAACGTTGTCTTGGCAAGAAAATGGCAAAAACTTGAGTATATTAGATATTTATACAATTGGTATGATTTCTAATTTTCAGAATATTACTATTATTATTATTATTGTTATTGTTATTATTATTATTTTATTATTATTATTTTTATTATTTTATTTTATTTTATTTATTATTATTATTATTATTATTATTATTATTATTATTATTACTATTATTATTATTATATTTTATTTTACATTATATTTTAGTAAAATATATATTGAAAAATGAGCGAATCAGAATCTGAATCTGAATACGCGCTGTCGGAAGGCGGCTCACAAGGAAGAGATAAGTCGTAAGTGATAAGTAGAAAAAGGATATATTTTATACTTGAATAAGTAAGTGTTATAGCTTACAATCCCATGTAAATGATAAATATCAATAAAACGATTGTTTTTTTTTTGCTTTCACATTGTTATTTTCAATTCTCGATTGCATTCGAGTGTGAAAAATTATAGTAACATAAAGTACAACGCCGCTCGAATTATCTCGAGTGTGCACAGTTTGGCCAGTTTAGCGCGCTCGAGTTAACTCGAGCGTGCACGTTAAGGGGTTAAGTACGAAATAGAGAACAAAACAATGACAACTAGATTTTCTATATTCATTGAATATTATATAAATAACAAAGGTATAAAAGATCGTAAAGAAAGTAGAAGTCCCGTTCTCTCTTACAAAACGTATTTGCACATACAAAAAGTCATCTTTTCATCATAATTTTATATAGATCATTTATTACAAAGAGTATACTTTGCATTTCTGATATATTTTGTAACAAGATAAATAATATTACATAACAAACATAAAAAATAACTCGAAGTTACATGGTAAGCGCCGGACGGATTATCTCTTCCGAAATTAATTATTTATTATATAAATAATATTATATATAATAATATTATTGTATTATATTATTATATATATTATTATTATTATATTATATTATATTATATATATATATATTATATTATTATTATATAAATAATTATTATATATAATAATATTATATAATAATTATATATATAAATTAATTAATTATCTC